GCACTCCTAGACGGAGCTGAAATTGCAGCTCTCACGAGTGTTCTAGCCGCCTAATCAGGCATATCGCGTACGATTGCGTTTCCCTGCCGCCCGACAGGGCAACAAGGAATTGGTGGACTTTGTTCAAGGGATGCGCTCTCTCATTGCCGGGATGGCAGCCGATCCCCTCCCGGAGGCGGTCACAGTGACCGTCTTTATGGAACGCCTCCACACTGGCGTGGCCAGAATGGAAGACTTCCGTGTGCATCCGACTTCGTTTGAAAAGGCGGTGAATGTAGCATTGAATGCCGAATTCAATTTCAATTCGGCACGACTTAGTTGCACACTTTAACAGCTCGTTGAGCGGGCCTATGCCCATGGATCTCTGCTATGATGAGGACGAGGGAGCCGAGCTCCGAGATGCCGGGCAGCACACAAACACACAACGGTGTTTTGTTTATGGAGACACCCATCATCTTCGGAACGGTTGCCCCCTACGTAATGCCCGTCAAGGTTCTTCGTACCATCGCCCCAATTCCTACCAGTCTGGTTCGTCGCGGGGAAACGACATCACCCAGTAGGTACGGGGATACCTACTGGGGAAGAACTGAATTCTGTTGAGCCTCAGGGATGTAGAGGTCAACAGGGCCCAGCCCCGAAGAGCTCCGTGATCTTGAACATTGAACGTGTGTGCAAGCCGGGCTTGCTGGTCGTGGAAGCGACCTTAAAGAGCTTCGAGAAGCCATGTAAGGTCATCATCGATACAGGGGCGTCGGTCCATTTAGCTCGACGCTCCACGATCGAAGGAAGTCTGCTGTATGCTGAGGCGCTGAAAGCGCGGTTGGGTGACATTGTCACTGTTTGCCTAGTGACGGGGACGCGTGTCACGGTCCCAAAAATCCCTGTGGACCTCGGAGTCAAGCTCCTTGACTTTGATAGCGTGAAACGCTGTATAGTCTTAGACTTGGATACAAGGTATGACCTCATCCTAGGAATGGCATGGTTGGAACACAATGAGCCATGGATTGATTGGAGATCAAAGACCTTGGGCGCCACACGCATTCTTCTGGTGGAGCTTTGGCGAGTCATGAACTCATCTCTGCTAGGAGACAAATGCGCTATTGGTGAGAGCACTGGATAGAAACGTTCAACGTGCTGGACATTGAAATGTCCGAGTTGGTAGATACTAACGGTGTATCGGACTGGAGTCTCGAGCGTGGCTCGCGGGCTGATCGCGGAATGGCACGTAACCCACTTACCGCTGCTCAAGTTGCGGAGCAGTCGCTGCATGTCATGCATGACATGGTCGGCCAAAGGCCGAGGCATCGAGGGTGAGGCCCCCATGATGCATGTGAAGTGGCACGTAAACCACTGAGCACTGCTCTTGTTGCGAAGCAGTCGCTGCATGCCGTTGATGGCGTGGTCGGACAGAGTCCAGGGCATCTTGGGAACGGCTCTTCAGATGCGCGTGGAGTGGTATGTAATCCACTGGACGAAGACTGCGGAGTTAGCAGCTCTTCGTCGGATGTTGTAGATAACATCGGAGCTC